GCTCCAGTTGAGCCCCAGACACACACACAAACACGTCTCTGCATTCCTCCAGTCCCAGCTCAGCTTCAGCCCACGCACAGAGGCAACAAGTAACTGTGGCTGGGGGGGGCACAAATTAAAGTTTCTGGGGAGTCATGTGGCCCCCTCATTTTTCAGGACACCCAGAAGCGAGGAGGCAGCACTCCCCTTGCCAGCGGCACACTCTATGTCCGTGCAGTATGGGGAGGGAGGAAGCAGCAGGGTGGCTGGCTGAGAACCCCTCCCTACCCCCACATGGGACTGCTTTGCCTTCCCTGCTGCTGGAGTCCCATGCATTGCCTCTCACCTGCAGATGGTCTGTAAAGCAAGCAGCAGCCCTAGGACTCCAGCAGAAGGGAAGGCAAAACATCCCCATGTAGGGGCGAGGAGCTCAGCCAGCCACTCTGCTTCTTCCTCTCTCCCCATGCTGCACAGACACAGAGTTTAGCTGCCAGGAGCATGCTGCCTCCTCCCTTCTGGGCGTATCCTCCAGAGGCATCCAGAGTAATGGGGGAGGAGGGGTCGCAACCCCACATGCCCTGCCCATGCATCATCTCTGCCCCCGCGGTCCACTGAAAAGCACCTGGTGATACAGATTTGGGCCACGGTCCGCCTATTGCCTCCCTTGGTATGGGATATAAAATGAATATTGAAATATAATTTAGCTAACAAGCTAGAAAATTGGTGAAAATAAACATTTAGGTTTTCAGAATTAAATCTCACAACCACGATAGTGAGTATAAATGTTATTTTCTATTGTGGGAAGGTGACTTTGGTTAGATTTTTGAAAAAGAGCCCCTCAGAATAGGGCCCAACTTGTGCCAATTGGTTATCAACTCTAGTGTTGCTAACATGGTGTGGGGAGTCAAAAGAAAAGTCAAAGATAATTTGGTCAATTACTTCCTTGCTAATTCACCAAGGTCTCCATCCCGATAGATCTATTAGTAGTCAACCCTTTTAACCTACTTACCAATGAAGGATTTTAGTTCCAGGTTCTGACTAACACTCCTAACTACGTAACAAACGACATTTATGAAGACTGTATAGATTGAGTGCAGTTTAAGAGGCTTGTACGTTGGTCTGTTTTATGTCTGTATGCACCTAGAAGTTGAAAGGCACTATGAATCCTTTAAATACGGTAAACAAAGGTACAGTGTCCTACAATCTTAGTTAACAGGAACTTATTCAGTTTAAAAGCTACTTTACATCAATCTTGATTGGAACCTGTTACAAAACAAGGACGTACACTAACTCTGACAATCTTTAAATCACAACAGCACATATACTTTCTTACTAATTAGGTATCCAGTTTCAGGAAGTTGTAAATTAACTGATTTGAGCAGTCATCCAATAAAAAGTGTGTGTGTGTGTGTGTGTGTGTGTGTTTCAGCTCAGTTACTATTCACAGCAATCACAGGTAAGTGAAGGGCAGACATAACTATAGTTCTTACTGGTGCCATAATGGGCAACCCAAATTGCTGGAAAAGAGAGACACTTAAAAGTGCTTATCTGAGATAGATACTCAATGTCACCAGGAGGACTCCAGGCTGGCCAGTCGAGGACCTCAGTTTTCTCCTTTCCTGGTGACTTTGGGTTTTGGGAAGTGATGTGCTGAAGGAAACAAGCAGTTTTATCCCATTTCTGCTGCGTGATCCAACTTAGTTCATCATCTTGGAGGTCCTGACATGGATCAGTCAGACAGACCAATACTTCTTCCAAAGATTGAAAATATCCAACCAAAATGAGAATCCTCCTCTCTCACCATCCAGTCAGGGACCAAGACACCACCTTTCGAGTTCTTGCAACTGGAGCTGGAATTTTCTAGTATTTTTGTTCAACACATCTTGTCAGACGAGCTTGTATAAGACAAGTCAGGGCATAGCTTTTGATACAACCTTGAACACGGACTGGTTTGCTTTGGTCATCAACTTACAGCCACCACTCGCTTCCCATGAGTCCCTTTGTGGTGCATCCCTTGTCCATCTCTGCAGTTGTGCTTGCTCAAGTTTCAATTTCTCCATCAACACTCTGCTAGCTGCTGAAGTGTCTAGTTTAGTGTTTGGATAAATTATACAAAGTCCCTCCATATTCTTTGATGCTCTTTAAACTTGTTTCACAGTTCATTTTACAATGTATTTACCCATTCCAAAGCCAGAAAGGGCCACTGTGATCATCTAGTCTGTGTAATACAAGCCACAGAACTGCCCCAAAATAATTCCTTGAGCAGATCTTTTACAAAACTTCCAATCCTAATTTTAAAATAGGCAGTGATGGAGAATCCACCACGATCCTTGGTAAATACCAACACTGGACACTTCACAAGTACTCCACAGCACTGTTAAATTCACTGAATATTTTCATATATACAATAGATTAGTAAGTGGGACTGGTTGATGAATAGTTCCTGAAGCCAAAACTAATTAAATTTTGGATAACATCCCAACTAGTCCTACTTCCCAGAATGTGGAGCTTTTCCCCTCAGGAATGTAGGCTGCAAGCTACACAGGGCAGGGAATGGCTTTTAGTGTGATTTTGCACATTCAATGGGGGATCTGATCAATTAAGTCCTGTAGGTTCCATAATTAATAATAATGCTAATACACTCAATGATATTTTCTCTCAGACTATTTTCATCGGTGCTGCTCTGAAACAACAGTTTAGGAATAACATTACTGGATCCACTAACATCATACACATTTGTTATTGACATTAGAGACCCATACAATGCATTCTGGGTAATGGGAATATTTCTGACACAATGATCAAAAGGAGGGAAGTGATTATTCTCCTCTATTCAGCACTGATGAGGCCACATCTGGAGTACTGTGTCCAGTTTTGGGCCCCCCACTACCGAAAGGATGTGGACAAATTGGAGAGAGTCCAGTGGAGGGCAACGAAAATGATTAGGGGGCTGAGGCACATGATTTAGGAGGAGAGGCTGAGGGAACTGGGATTGTTTAGTCTGCAGAAGAGAAGAGTGAGGGGGGATTTCATAGCAGCCTTCAACTACCTGAAGGGGGGTTCCAAAGAGGATGGAGCTTGGCTGTTCTCAGTGGTAGCAGATGACAGAACAAGGAGCAATGGTCTCAAGTTGCAGTGGGGGAGGTCTTGGTTGGATATTAGGAAAAACTTTTTCACTAGGAGGGTGGTGAAGCACTGGAATGGGTTACCTACAGAAGTGGTGGAATCTCCATCCTTAGAAGTTTTTAAGGCACGGCTTGACAAAGCTCTGGCTGGGATATTTAGTTGGTGTTGGTCCTGCTTTGAGCAGGGGGTTGGACTAGATGACCCTCTGATGTTCCTTCCAACCCTAATCCTCTATGATTCTATGAAAAGTTTTTTTTAATAAACATGAGTAACTAAAATATCAGTTATTTTTAGAAATAAAAACTTCAGCCTTTTTACATACACCCATAATAGGATTTAGCATGTTGTCTGCAATGCAAATCATGAAGCCCTTATGTATAAAACATCTGAGTGATAGTAGAGCTACAGAAACAGCTTACTATACACTTTAGTTTTCAGCTCTGTGAGAGAAAAAAAAGCATGACTGAATTAAAGGGAAGATAGAAATATCTACATTTCCTTCAACAAGTATTTGTTTCTATTTAAAGACCAGCCTTAGAAAAATCAGGTTTTTGCCAGGACTGTTGATGGCAAATATTTGGGGGCAGATCCTCAACTAGTGTAAATTGTCATCGCATCAGTGCAACAACTTACCAAGGGTTGTGGTGGATTCTCCATCACTGACAATTTTTAAATCAAGACTGGATGTGTTTTCTAGAAGTTATGCTTTAGGAATTATTTTGGGGAAGTTCTATGGCCTGCGTTACGCAGGGGGTCAGACTAGATGATCACAATGGCCCCTTGCAACCTTGGAATCTATTCAATAGTTTCAATCGTGAATTACTCTCTCTTAAAAAAATTAGGTCTTATTTCCAGTCTGAATTTCTCTAGCTTCAACTTCCAGCCATCGGATCATGTTATATCTTCCTGTGATAGACCGAAGAGCCCATTCTTACATATTTGTTCCCTATTTAAATACTAAAAAACTGCAGTCATGCCCCCCCTTAATGTTGTCTCTGTTAAGTTACAAAAATTGAGTTCTCTGAGTCTATCACTAACCTATATGGTATGGTTTTTAATCCTTTAATCATTCTCTTGAATCACTGAAGTAAAGTCACTTCAAGAACGGTTGTTCTCTGGCTGGCCAGAACAGCTGTATAAGTTCACCATTTCTGTTCTCTTTGTTACAACAATAGTGGATTGCTGGGATATGTGGCTGAGCTGAGTCTGTGCACTATTAATCAAAGTTCTGATTATTCCACTCTGTGATTAAGTGTCCTTATAAAAAAAACATACTATTTGGTTTAAGGTCCTTTTATTTACTGCCCTCTGGGGGGGTGGGATGTGTGAGTGTCTGGGCTGGGGAGGGGGAGGTCGACCACGGGTGTGGGTAGGGGGGGGCCGTCTTCCCCCCTCCCCGGCTGGGCTCTGGTGGGGAAGGGCCAGAGAAGCAGGAACTGGGTTGTCACAGGAGTTTCTCTCTCTCTCCTGGAGAAATTTATTTCTGTGTCTGCATTGTTTGACACGTACTTGCTAACAGGTATTTTGAAATAAATTACCAAAATAATTGATACTAGCGTGATTATATAGTATTATTTTGACAAATAAAATTTGCAGAATTTTAAAAATTCTGCACACGTTTTAATTTTTTTGGTGCAGAAATCCCCCAGGAGTAAAGTTTACAATATTTTACCCAAAACTGTATCTTGCAGTCAATGTCCCTTTTATACACATAAACTTCATTTAATCATAATATTAGATTCCATCAAGTTCCCTATGTTTCCACTATTGCACATGGCATCATCATATAATCACAAAATCATAGAATATCAGGGTTAGAAGGAACCTCAGGAGGTCATCTAGTCCAACCCCCTGCTCAAAGCAGGACCTAATCCCCAACTAAATCATCCCAGCCAGAGCTTTGTCAAACCTGACCTTAAAAATCTCTAAGTAAGGCAATTCCACCACCTCCTTAAGTAACCCATTCCAGTGCTTCACCACCCTCCTAGTGAAAAAGTTTTTCCTAATATCCAACCTACACCTCTCCCACTGCAACTTCAGACCATTACTCCTTGTTCTGTCATCTGGTACTAGAGAACAGTCTAGATCCATCCTCTTTGAAACCCCCTTTTAGGTAGTTGAAAGCAGCTATCAAATCCCCCCTCATTCTTCTCTTCTGCAGACTAAATAATCCCAGTTCCCTCAGCCTCTCATAAGTCATGTGCTCCAGCCCCCTAATAATTTTTGTTGCCCTCCGCTGGACTCTTTCCAATTTTTCCACATATCTTACTGTTTGCTATTCACTTATTTTATGTTTTAATACATTCATTCACAGACTGGGAAAGAGTGGAAGTCTTTGGCTGCAGGGCTCTTGTTAAAGGCTGCAGGGAGGCTGCAGTGATTGTATATTTCCTCAGATACTTGCTGTTAGACCTTAAGGTCTATTTTTTGTTTTCCTCTCAGTCCTCGGTCTTAATTTTTCTAAGCAGCCTTGATGCCTGGGCAATTCTTAAACAGTAATAATTCATAACTCTGGGGGCTTACTGCATTGGTCTCTGCCAGAAAGTGAATTTGTTTTTGGAAAGTCTAAGGAAAATCCCTTCAGTCATTTTTTAGTTCAGTTGAAACAAACATACACTTTACCCAATATGCAAATGTGTTGTACACCTTTTGATTTCGAGGTGGAGGATACCTCAGACACAGCTGAACTTTGACATTTTACAATATCAATAGTGTTCACTAAGAATGGGACTTGATATCTGTAATTTTAATTACGGTTTTCTCCAAACTTAGCAACACCTGCAAATGGTATCCTGAGCATGCACAGTAGAATATTCTACTCTGGTTTTGTGCACTTCAGTGAGAATGCTAGGTGTAATAACAGAAGTTGGACAGCATCTCACCTCCTATGTATGCACTTCCAGGAGCGCTACCTCAGCAAAGTACACACACACGAAGGGATAAAGTAGAAGTGTGCACATTCCCACAGAGGAACAACTGCTGCATTTATAAGAAATGTAGCTCTCTGTCTCTCCTGGAAGGGCGCATCTTGGTGTTGGGTGAGTTTTGGGGGAGTGGTAAAGTCTTCATTTTAATATTTGTTTATTGCTTTAAGTAGTATTTGTTATTACTTCATTACTGATCTGAGGATTGTGGGATAAGGTTCAGCTCCAGTCAACTATCCAATACTGTACTCACCCGCTTTCCTTCAATGACCATCGCGATGCATCCCAGTACTGTCAGGGCAATCATCAGGTAGCTGATCTTCACACGCAATTTATTTCGCGCAGCATCGATCAACTCAAACCTCATGAAGCAAAGGGAGGCCAAAATCATTATCAGAGACCGTAGCTTCTAATCTATTGATATCTCATCATCCTGATAAACAAGAATCCATACTATCTACTGTCAAGAAACTAGCATTTGTATCAGGCCTTTCACCGGCACCCCCCCAAAGCACTATCCCCATCTTACAGACAGAGGGAGGTAGCTTGCCCAAGACCACAGAACAAATCATTAGCAAAGTTGAGAAGAGAACCCAGGTTTCCTGACACTCAGTCTGTTGCTCTAATCACTAGACAATGCTGCATTTTCAGATCACTGGAATACCATATCCCCTCTGCTCTGCCTGACAGTCAAATCTTGTCCTCAGTAAGGGGAAGAAGGGGGGAAAGAAGTGTGTTCTTACCATAGTGTTTTCTTACCACTAGCTTCTCCCAGTGCTTACCTCAACTTGCTAATCCATGTAAAAACTACAAACTGCCTTCACATTAGGATTTTACCACATTACCACATGGTAAGACCACCTTTTTTCTAGTTTGAGCACATCCTGAAAGTGTGCAGGGTAAAAAGCAAGATTAAACTGTGAAAGAGTTGAGCTTTTGGGGGTGGAGGTGCATCAAAACTGGTTTATATTTTTTTCATTGGGCTTAAACACTCTGCACCATAAATTAAACTTTTCAGCAAGATGGCTTCCTCCAGCACTGGGTTTGGAAATGCTAGCTGCAATTAGAAACATTTTTAAAATACAGATTTCATATCAGCGGTCTCCAGTATGTTCACCGGCAATTTATGCCCCTAGGAAAATTTGAGCAGCTCTTGGTAGAAGTCTAAAATTTCACTTCCTACTGTCTTCTGGAACAGTTCTCAAGAAGGTTTAATTGAAGATGGAGGATTGTTTATACCATGCAAGTTTTGCCCTGTAGAGACTTTCTTGCAAATTTCTTATCTAGATATGCCCAACATCTGCAGCTAGATCAATTGCTTCTAGACATTTGCAGCCTGGCCTACTGTTAACTCTTAGGGAGGTAGAGTTCCCTACAAGGCCAGCTTCAGTCATCTTGATCTTCCAAATGCCCTCTATGGAGGGCAAAGTAGAAGAATTAAAGGATTTGTGTTGTAAATACTTCAAATTCAATTATCAAGAAGTCAATGGTCTCAGGTTGGGCTAAACATTAAATATCATACAACTGATATTTAGTATTTCAGTTACAGTGGACCCCTACAAAAGTGAGCAGTGTTGGTATTAAGGATACAGATGCTAAATGGGCCTCCATGGGACAAAAATGTGAAGGTGTGTTTTCTATAAACAGAGACCTACAGAATTTAATAGAGACAATAACCTTTTAAACCAACCTATAGTTCAGAAAACGATATCCCTCCAATAGAATTCTAATACTCCAGAAAAGAGTTTTTTGTTTGTTTTTTTAAAGAGTCATACTGGAGAAGTTACAGATGAGTGGAAGAAAGCAAATGTCATGCCAAAAAATGGTAAATGGCACCAACCAGGTAGTTATAGGCCTGTTAGCATGACATCAATCCCAGCCAAAATAATGGAACAGCTAATCTGAGACAGTCAAAGAACTAAAGGATGGTAATATACGTAATGCCAACCAACATGGTTGATGGTGGCCGATAGGTCTTGTCAATGAACTTTATGTAATTTTTTAAGATTACAAATTTGGCTGATGAAGGTAACTGTGCTGATGTTGTATATCTGGACTTCTGTAAGGCATCTGACTGCATGACATTCTGATTTTAAAAATTTGGCATAAAAGCCACTTCTCAATCCATTAAAATATGCTGTATTTATTTTCTAACCGATAGTGAGGAATCATCAACTGCAAGTGTTTCTAGCATGGTCCCACAGTGATCAGCTTCATAGAACTTAAGGTCCACCACCAGATCATTTAATCTGAACTTCTTTAAATTAAATTTCCATTAAATCTATTAAATTTCACATAGTTTCTCCTGTATTGAGCCCTATAACTTGTGTTTTTTTAAAGCATATCTTCCAGAAATGCAGCCAGTCTTGATATGGGGACATCAAGAGATGGAGAATCTGCTGCTACCCTCGGTTTGTTCAGGTGGTTAATCAACCTGTTAAAAGTACGTGACTTATTTCTGATTTGAATTTGTCTGACTTCAGCTTCCAGCCAGTGGTTCCTGTTATGCTTTTCTCCACTACTGTAAAGAGTCATTTAATACCCAGTAATTTTTTCTCCTGTGGTGGGTGCTTGAGCCAGTGCTATTTAATATGTTTTAGGAGTGACCTAGAGAAAATATAAAATCAGTGCTGATAAAGTATGCAGATTCTGGGGTGGTAAGTAATAACAACAGCAGGTCACTTAGACAGAACAATCTGGATCCTGAAGTACACTGGGCCAAAACAAAGAGTGTGAATTTTAATACAGCTAAATACATTTCTGAACAAAGAATGTACCCCTTACTTTCTGGATGGGTCTATACTTATAAGTTTGAGTGACATAGCTATACCAACCTAAGGTGTGGGGGAAAAAAAAACAAAAAAACCCACCGCACACAACAAAAACCCCACACCCTCGCTTTTCAGCTATGCCGACAAAACCCCAAGCGTAGGTGCAACTATCTCAACAGAAGATGACTTCGATCAGTGAAGTTAACGTAGTTTGAGTAGGTGGTGTTCCTACACGGACAGAAAAAAAAACTCTGTTGATGTAGGCTGCACATATAGTAGGGGGTTGTGCTGGCATAGTTATGCTGACACAGCTATGCCAGTATGGACTCCACAGTGTAGACATACAAAGCAGTAACTCAGAAAAAGACTCAGTGGAATAGGGAGGTTACCTCTGCACAGAACACTAGTGCGAGACCACCACTGGAATACTGTGTCTAGTTTTGGTGTACACACTTTTTAAAAAGAAAAAGAAAAAAAAAGTTAAGAAGGAACTGAGGAGTGGAAAATTTGCCTTGCACTGAGAGATGTAAGGAACTCTATTAGAATTCTTTGAAGGTGTCAACAAGCATGTGGATAAGAAGAACAGGAGTACTTGTTTCACCTTAGAGACTAACAAATTTATGATCCACTTGATATAGTGTACTTAAGTATATGTAGTATACCACCTGCATGCCCCCTAAATAGCACATGACACTTGTGCATTGTTTAGAAGGCACACAGGTATAGACAACTGCTCATAAGTCACTGGTGTTAGGAACACTGTAATGCTCATAATTTGAAAGAAAAATCACTCAAAATAATAATTCCAACATCCTACAGTCCAGAATTTGTCAACAGCTCCCTTCTGCCATAGAATGACACAGTAGTCCAAATCTGAAACTTCTGGGCCAACCTATATTTCATTTCAGTGTTGCCCCCCTGAAAAAAAAACCAACACTACAAAATTAGAAAAATGAAGTCCCCACACTTTTTGACCCTCATTTTCTCCAATTTGACTCCATATTTCCACAGAAATTCTATCTTGGTATAAATTCATGCCTGTGGAATTTCAGGTGGATTGGTTTAAATGTAGCAAAGTCTAGGTCCGTGCACTGCCCCATCCACAGGCGCCGCCCCCACAGCTCCCATTGGCCGGGAACTGCGGCCAATGGGAGCTGCAGGGGCAGAGCCTGTGGATGGGGCAGCACGCAGAAGCACCTGGCTGTGCCTCTGTGTAGGAGCCTGAGGGGGCACATGTCGCTGTTTCCAGGAGCAGCTTGAGGTAAGCACTGCCCGGAGCTTGCACCTTTGATCCTCCTCCTCCCCTCCCCCTCCCCCAACTGCCAACCCCAGCCCTAATCTCCCTTCCACGCTCCGAACCCCTCGATCCCAGCCTGGGGCACCCTCCTGAACCCCAAATCCCTCATCCCCAGCCCCACCCCAGAGCCTGCACCCCTAGTCGGAGCCCCCACCCCACCGCCTCAGCCCAGAGCCCCCTCCAGTACTCTGAACTCCTCATTTCTGGCCCCACCCCAGAACCCGCACCCCTCACCCCCTCCTGCATCCCAACCCCAATTTTGTGAGCATTCATGGCCCGCCATACAATTTCCATACCCAGATGTGGCCCTCAGGCCAAAAAGTTTGCCCACCCCTGCACTAAAACATGCTGTAAGTTGAGGAATCAGCCAGATATTAGCTCCCCAGACGCAACCCCAAGGAAAGTAAACAACACCCCGGCGGGGTATCAACCAACCAATCAACCACCATTGTCCAGCAAGGGAGCTACAATGCAATGACTCACCTGCATAAGGCCACACTAGGGGAATTGTTCAACTTTGCCTGGAGACTCAGCAATGGCTGGTGTATATCCACTTTCCGTTGATGAAGTGGTGAAGCAATTAATAAATCTGCATTACTCATCTTGAGCAGTGCAAGACAGTATATTCCTGAGAGACAATGCTGGGAGGATTTGGGTCTGGTGCCTTTCTCTATATGATTCATGAGTGGCTCTGGAAGCATTCATGCCATCTAGCTGGGTGTGGGGCTCCACATGCTGTTGTGCTGAGTGATAACAGCACCTGGAGGGGTTTGCAGCTCGTCACTAGCAAGGCATTGTGAGAGACAGCTGAGGCTGGAGAGAGTTCAGGAGGGCACAGCAGTTCCACAGGCCCCATCACATTCCCAAAATGGTGCAAAGTAATTCATGTGGGGTTCACTTTTACAAAAGGATTTTAAACAGACATTGTCAACATAACTCATTTAAAAAAGAAAAGTCCTTATCTACATTAACGCCAGGTGTAATTATTCAAAGAAGTTTTTTGAAGTATGATTTACATTTCATCCTGCATGGACAGAGTCTAAAATGGTCAGTTTACTTTCTGGTTCTCAAAGACTAGCACAGTGTTCGCACTGAGGCTAGACTTGCTGCAGAGAAATTTTAACTAAGTTTTATTGTCATTAGAGGCCTAATCTACTATTTGCTTAGTTTAAATCCCAAGGGAGATTGAGTTCTCGCCCCTCAGGTCTATAATTGATAATAATAAATATTATTTATGATCATATGGTTTATATTAAGTGTCTTGTTTCAATAATTATTGAATTATGTACTTTTCATGAAACAAACATAAAACACTTTTCACGGACATTTAAAAAGATAATCAGGAAAATATTTTTATTCATACTAGGGTTTGCAAAAGCTTTTAAAAAAAATTTAGGGCAAAATAGCTGGTTCAGGGTCTCCTTTATTGAAATTACTTCTACTTACTCACCTTCCTTTTGGGAAAATCATGAGGGGGATAATTTAAGCAACTGCGTGCCCTCTACATCAGGATATGGAGATCACAGCAGTGTTGTATTTCAATGATATCATGTTCCTGACGTCACACCTCTGCAGAACTGATACTCAGTCCTGTATACTTTCATTCAGTAACTTGTTTCTCGGTAGGCATACATTACTGTACTTATAATTTCAGGATTGGCACTTACGAGATAGTCTCTGGTATATCATCTACTTTTTTGAAACGGCCTGACCACAGCAGAACCTTCTTTTCCCAATCTGAAGGCTTGTGTCCTGGCACTTTGAAGGTGGAATGCCCTATAGCAAATATGGAAGAGAAGTTACAATATACAGAATAATCATAGCTTAATGAAACTGTCAGGGTGAGCAAAACAAATTTGCAGGCATGAGCTCTGTTGTAACTAAAGAGGGAGCAGAAATATCACATGAGCACTCCTGGAGAAGCTGTAAGGGCATGTGGAACTGAACCAAGCTTAAGGTGACAGAACTTTACCTAGGGCCCCACGTACTCTGCCATTCTGAAGGCACAGAATGTGCCTCAGAACCCACACCTTTCACAGAATCATTCTCCAGAATCAGAGTATTCATTTAAATAAATAAATAAATAAATAAATATTGTGGGGCTGGTTCTCCACTGCCTTGCATCTTTTAGCATAAGTTACACCTGGGGCAAAATCAGTACTTGGTCCTGCTAGTGAAGGCAGGTGGCTGGACTCGATCTTTCAAGGTCCTTTCCAGTTCTAGGAGATGTGATATCTCCATTTATTATTATTATTACACTGCAGAAAGTGTGTATTAGCTATGTTACAATAGGATAGTATTTCCTAAACTGCTGGGCATGAATCATAGAAGATTAGGGTTGGAAGAGACCTCAGGAGGTCATCTAGTCCAATCCCCTGCTCAAAGCAGGACCAACCGCAACTAAGTCATCCCAGCCAGGGCTTTGTCAAGCCGGGCCTTGAAAACCTCTGAAGTTGGAGATTCCACCACTTCCATAGGTAACCCATTCCAGTGCTTCACCACCCTCCAAGTGAAATAGTGTTTCCTAATATCCAACCTAGACCTCCCCCACTGCAACTTGAGACCATTGCTCCTTGTTCTGTCATCCGCCACCACTGAGAACAGCTGAGCTCCATCCTCTTTGGAACCCCCTTTCAGGTAGTTGAAGGCCGTTATCAAATCCCTGCTCACTCATCCCTTCTGCAGACTAAATAAGCCCAGTTCCCTCAGCCTCTCCTCCTAAGTCACGTGCCCTAACCCCCCTGATCATTTTCGTTGCCCTCCACTGGACTCTCTCCAATTTGTTCACATCCTTTCTGTAGTGGGGGGCCCAAAACTGGACACAATACTCCAGATGTGGCCTCACCAATGCCGAATAGAGGGGAATAATCACTTCCCTCGATCTGCTGGCAATGCTCCTACTAATGCAGCCCAATATGCCGTTAGTCTTTTTGGCAGCAAGGCCACACTGTTGACTCGTGTCCAGCTTCTGGTCCACTGTAATCCCATGTCCATTTCTGCAGAACTGCCGCTTAGCCAGTCGGTCCCCAGCCTGTAGCAGTGCATGGGATTCTTCCGTCCTAAGTGCAGGACTCTGCACTTGTCCTTGTTGAACTTCATCAGATTTCTTTTAGCCCAATACTCCAATTTGTCTAGGTCACTCTGGACCCTATCCCTACCCTCCAGCAGATCTACCTCTCCCCCCAACTTAGTGTCATCCGTGAACTTCCTGACTGTGCAATCCATCCCAGCATCTGGATCATTAATGAGGATGTTGAACAAAACCAGCCCGAGGACAGACCCCTGGGGCACTCCACTTAATACTGGCTGCCAACTGGATATTGATCACTACTGGTTGAGCCTGACGATCTAGCCAGCTTTCTATCCACCTTATAGTCCATTCATCCAATCCATACTTTTTTAACTTGCTGGCAAGAATACTGTGGGAGACCGTATCAAAAGCTTTGCTAAAGTCAAGATACATCACATCCACCACTTTTCCCATATCCACAGAGCCAGTTATCTCATCATAGAAGGCAATCAGGTTGGTCAGGCATGACTTGCCTTAGTGAATTCATGTTGAAGGACTAGCTGCGGCAATGGGGCTCGAGAGATTCAGCTTTCATTAAAATAAAAGTAACTCTCCAGTTGCTATGGTTAAGAAGGAAACCTTTTAAAATGTGATTCAAATGTAACCACTGCAGAAAAGTCTGCCTGAGTTTGTAGAAAGCCTCAGACGTGAACCGCTTTAGTCATTTTAACAGGTGCTCACATGCCAATGACAACAATTTAGAAGCCAATGTTTGGTTAACTATTTCACTGTTTTTCCAAACATGTAAGGAGAGGAAGTATATTGTGACTAGCCTACCAATGTTTTCAATTTTAGCAATATATGGTGGGAGTGAAGAGGATGAGATTGGTTTTGTTTTCCTGAAGGCAAGCTCAGCTTTCAAGAATCTGAGAAATACTGCACTACTATAACCTACTGGCTAAGTGTCATACACCACCATTCTAACCTGGTAGCATTTTATATCTATTTTGCACAGCTAGAAATTTTCACATTCTTTTGTTGTAAAGTAGAGAATAGGGTCTTAGAATCATAGAATCATAGAATATCAGAGTTGGAAGGGACCTCAAGAGGTCATCTAGTCCAACCCCCTGCTCAAAGCAGGACCAATTCCCAGCTAAATCATCCCAGCCAGGGCTTTGTCAAGCCGGGCCTTAAAAACCTCCAAGGAAGGAGACTCCACCACCTCCCTAGGTAACGCATTCCAGTGTTTCACCACCCTCCTAGTGAAATAGTTTTTCCTGATATCCAACCTGGACCTCCCCCACTGCAACTTGAGACCATTACTCCTTGTTCTGTTCGTCTGCCACCACTGAGAACAGCCGAGGTCCAATCCTCTTTGGAACCCCCCTTCAGGTAGTTGAAGGCTGCTATCAAATCCCCCCTCATTCTTCTCTTCTGGAGACTAAACAATCCCAGTTCCCTCAGCCTCTCCTCATAAGTCATGTGCTCCAGACCCTAATCATTTTAGTTGCTTCCCTCTCTCTGGCTGAACTTTACTCTTTTGTGATTTTAGCTTCCCCCATATACTCTACAGCAACGCTTCTTTTACCTAAGCTAAAGATCCCTGCAGCGCCCAAAATCCTGTAGGGTTTGCTCATCAAGTTGGGGGTTACTACCGGTGCAATTGTGATGCGAGAGTGGGGATAGGGACGTGCTGAAACTGGGACGCATAAGGGGTCAGCTTGAAATTGCAGATTGACCCAGTCCACTCAGATTGCTCTGTGTGTATGCGCGTGGGAGGGTGGT